CTCTTCTCTTCTCTTCTCTTCTCTTCTCTTCTCTTCTCTTCTCTTCTATTCTATTCTATTCTATTCTATTCTATTCTATTCTATTCTATTCTATTCTAACTAGATTTGAAATGGAAGGTTAATACTGAATAACTTACCACTAGGGCAAAACAAAGGTAAGTTTAGACAGTTTGCCATTATACTATATTACTAGGAAAATAGATATTTGCTGTTCGTTTTAAGCTTTAAAGAGTAACCATGTGTCACCAGCATGGCATTTATAGGTACAGGTAACTCATAAACATGTCTAAAACAAACAATTTATGAGTAATTGCATCTAGAAATGTTAAGCTTAAAGCAAAATAAGTCTTGTTCATGATGTCGTTGTTTAACACTAATTGTTATTTGCATAGTTAAATTTGTTTTTAATGCAGCACATAATATAAACATTAATGATTAATTAGTCTCTACCCATTCTCACCTTTTCTATATGACTAATATTTGTCAGAGGAAAAGTTAGTGCTAGGGAAGAATGGGAAGTCTCTTCTAAGTAACATTTTCTTATCCTATTGGCAGATAACGAAATAAAATCCAGCAGAGCTGTTTTTTCGACAAGGGAGATCAGCATCACTGACTTGGAGTTGAGTGACACTGCAGTGTACCAGTGTGAGGCTACCAACAAGCATGGCACTATCCTGGCCACAGCAAATATTGATGTTCTCAGTAAGTTACTCTTACGGGGAATAGCAGGTTCATTTTTGCCTATACCTGCCATGCACAAGGATCAGAAAAGATTTTGGTTTGAAGAGATCCACTTCCTCTCACAGGGAAAAGTGCTGAGCTACATGGATCTAATTGCATCTATCTTTGTATGCAAGATATGATATTAATTATCATCAATTAACAAGGAGGCTAAAACATATGAAGAATGGTTACAGGAATTGGGCATGGCTAGTCTAGTGAAGAAAAGGACCAGGGATAGCAGCCTTCCAATATTTGAGGGCTGCCACAGAGAGAAAGGGGTCAACCTGTTGTCCAAAGCACCTGAAACAAGGAATAATGGATGGAAACTGATCAAGGAGTGATTCAACCTAGAAATAAGAAGAAATTTTCTGACTGAGAGCAATTAACCAAGGGGCTCTTGGTTATGATTCCTGGCCATCTTAATCATTTGAGACAGATGTGTAAATCAATAAAGAAGAATGTTTGTACCTCAGGGTTGAAATGAGGGGTCCTTGATGCTCCCCGAGCTTGCTTGTTTTTTTGCAGATATTTCATTACCCAAACTAAGTAACACCATCAGTGGCACTAGCACTAGCACAAGCTCAGAGAGATTCAATCTGGAAATAAGGAGAAATTTTCTGACAATGAGAGCAATCAACCAATGGAACAGCTTGCCTTCAGAAGTTGTGGGAGCTTCATTACTGTAAACTTTCAAGAAGAGACTGGACTGCCATCTTTCAGAAATGGTGTAAGGTCTCTTGCTTGGGCAGGGGGTTGGACTAGGTGACCTACAAGGTTCCTTCCAACTCTGTTAATCTGTTAAGAACAAGGTAACTAAGTATCTGAAAGACAGCGTTAGGGTACATTATGTTTAGGATGGTAGTTAGAATTGATCCATTTTTTAGATTAGAATGATCCATGAAAATTACCATAGTGAGTCACTAAAACTTTTTAATGTCTATATTTCTGCTCAGAATATCATTGATACAAATAATGCTAATCTAGTAGGAAAAGCACTATTCATACAGCTGAGAGATATAAAGGTAGATGGAAATATAAGATATCCTTCAGTGTAAAGTTTTAAAAGTTAATTATTGCTGAACCAATTTTTCAATCAAAAATTTTCCACATTTTAAAATCCCATCGATCCACTAAAAGATGTTTTATAATTTTACAATAAGAATCTTAGCTGCTAAGAATATTATTGTATGTGTTTAGAAAAAATGGAAAATAGGCCAATAAAACAAAACAAAAACAAAAGCATCTTTGAGCCAAAAGGGTATTGCCACCAAAGATGACATATCTGTAAAGTTGCTTTTAACACTGCCCAACAAACCCTGGAAGGGTTACAATTAATACAGTGTAATTTTGATGAAGTGTGAATCCATCTCTGAATTCATGGTTTGTATTCTAATCAATAGCATAAATCAAAGCTAAATATTGTTGCAAAGTGCAGTGCCTTAGAAACGTCTGTTTCATGGTCAGAGCTTCCTCTTATGATTATGTCCCTGAAATTTGTTAATGAATTACTAAATATAGGTGGAAATTGGGAAAGTCAAAAAAGTGTTTTAAATCCTCAGAAAAGCTTTAGCATATCTTAAACTGTCAAAAACTCCTACAGCATCTAGACTTTTCAGAGTCTGAAATATCAGGGGTGTTCACCTCTAACTCTTTTCTACTAAAATTTCATTTGCATTGTTTACAATTGTGGAAAAGTAATTTTTTTTTAAAAAAAGGAAAAAAAATAAGTATAGCTCAAAATTACAAAATTTGCCCTAGGATGAAGGCTACTTCTTTTTTTTATCATTGTTGGTAGTCCTACCTTGACTCTTTCTTTCCTAATTTACATTTGCTTTTTCAGATATTCCCCCAGAAATATTAACTCCAGATGGGGAAGAATACGTGGCAGTAATGGGTTATTCAAGTCACTTGTACTGTCAGTTTTTTGCAATACCCACACCAGATATTTCTTGGTAAGCTTTATTTTACTTCCTTAGTAAGCTCTTTTGTCATAAATTATTGTTGATGTCTTTTAATCCATTTATATTTGATTGCTAGAAAAAAAATGCATTTTTACATCACAAAAGTGCACTTTTTAAAAAAAGCTGTACCTAACAATTGCTGATTACAGAGCACCAATAAGTTACCTTTGTTTTAAATATTCCAAGCGTTAATGTGACAGTGTTAATGAAGCTGTGCATTGTTAGTCATAAAATGATAAGCTCTCAATTTGCTCAGAGGGTTTCCTTTGTAATAAATTAGATGAATCCCACTGTAATTTTGAAAAGATACCATTGTATTTCCTCAGATGGCAAAAAAAATTGTCTCGGACTTAGCTTTATTTGTTTGACAATATATCTGAAGTTAAACTAGACTGCCCTCCGCATATTGTCTCACTATTCTTTATCAATTTCTCTGATAAAATAATTATAAGCATTCTTTTGTTTATAAAATAATTTTATAAACTTTTATAATTTTATAAATTTTATATTTGTTTATAAATTTTATAAATTTTGTTGATAAAATCATTCTAAACACTGTTTTGCATCTTTCTTTTTTTTTGGCCTTATAACACTAGCCAGCATTTACCCTGCACATTGCATAGACAGAACATTCCAGAAACTGTAAACAAACAATTGTCAGTTACCAAATCTTTACAATCTGCAAGATTTTTCCTTATTTTTCCATTACACACACAGAGAGAAGAAAAACTTTACATGACCAAGTCTGTATTATCAATTGCAATTGATTTTATAGGAGCTATGGTTGCACAGTTGTTAAGAATGCAGTATTACAGGCAACTCTGTCCACTGTCAGGAGTTTGATCCTGATCTGTTTAAGGTTGATTCAGCCTGCCAAAATCAGAAAAATGAGGACCCAGATTGTTGGGAGCAATATTCTGACTCTGTAAACCATTCAGAGAGTGCTGTAAAGTATTGTGGAATAGCATATAAGTTTACTGTTATTGCTATTATCCATATTTCCTGAATTATAGATCAGAGAGTCATGTTCCTGTTGATTTCATTGGATACAGATTAGAACCATCTACCAAGCTGTTTCTTTAACAGTACAGAATAAAAGTAGAATCAACTGTTTCCTTCTTTCCATCTTTTCCACCTCTATGTACATAACAGGGTTAAAGCTGTAATATTCAAAGGTCACTCTCTTTAGGTCTGTCCATGCTAATTATCCTTAATATTGTTTCTTGCAGCTTTGGAAAGTTATGTACCTTTTGAAGAATACATATAGAGATATCTATATTTTATAGAGAAATAAATGCATCTCTATCTTCATTTAAATATATCTATATCTGTACTATCTTTTTATAATATGCAGTCTAACTTTAGAATAACTTTATTGTCACTCTAAATCAGTGGTTCCCAACCTTTTTTTCGCCTCGCACCCCTAAAGAAATTTCACTCGAACTTCGCACCCCCTGAAATTTAGACTTTAGGAACTACCCTGTTTCTCCAACAATACGGCCTCCCCCAATAGGAAGTCCCAGCATGTTTTATAGGCATGAAATGAAATTAAGCCCCTCCCCCCAAATTAAGGCCTATATTAAAACATGCAAAATGGGGGGGAAATGGTGGGGGGGCTTGCCATTAGGAAGTACTTTTGTTGCACACCCGGATATGGTGCTGCCTGCGTTGACCCTGATACAAAGTGCCCCACCAACGCCGAGGTCAACATCCAAGCCGTCACCACCCGCCTGCCCAAAGATGCAAGGGGGGGGAATTAAGTCACCCCCGAAAAGACGGCCTAGCCATTTTTTCGGGGCTCAAAAAAAAATAAGACCCGGCCTTATTATATGAGAAACACGGTACTGAACGCGTTAAATATATGGTAGGCTTGAATCTTTTCAGCTATGTATGTGACGGCCACTAAATAACGATACTTAACTCTAAAATGAAAACAAAGTTAATCCATTGCATAATAAATAAATAAATAAAAATAAAAATTACCTGGACTTTTCTCACACCCCCTGGAATATCGTCTCGTACCCCCAGGGGGTGCGAGCACCCCAGGTTGGGAACCCCTGCTCTAAATGTACACTAATTGGCATATATTAAAATGAAATTTTGTTGAATATAGCTCTCAAAGAGTCACCACCTCCAATATACACTATAGAAACATGACAAACAAACAAATAAATACATAAGCATATACAGTACCTACACACCCACATATATTATATGACACAGAGAAACAACACAGTCCAGTTCAGATGTATACATGTACATGGAGATAAAAACAAATATTGCAAGTTTACCAGATGGATGGCATAGGAACAAAGCTTTTACATAGGTTTTTCATGTCCATTTCCTGTTTTTATTTTTCAGACTTTTTAAAAAGTTTTCTTAGATTTTTCTTTTTATATTTTTTAACATTTTATGTAATTTTAATTTTGCAGTTTTATGATTTTTTTAAAAATGTTGGTACCTCACCCTTCTTATGAAGTGCACCAATTACACCCACTCTTGTACCAGGAGGTCTGACTCCTGATCACTCATGCCCTGGTCTTTTCTTGGTTCGATTACTGCAACATGTTCTACAGAGGGCTGCCCTTTAAAACTATTTGGAAATTACAACTGGTCCAGAAGGCAGTGGCATGCACCATTCAGAGCATCCCACACTTTGCCCATATTAACCACTACATTGACTTCCACTTTCTTTCCAGGTGCAATTCAAATTGCTGGTAAAGGAATTTTACATCTTTAAAGCCTTAAGTAGTAGCCAGATGAGACTCAAAGGTGCTTTTTCAAAAGGCAGACGGACTTTCTTTGTTTTTCCTTAAAGACATTTCACTTCTCATCCAAGGAGCTTCTTCAGAGAACTGAAGAAACTTCTTGGATGAGAAGTTAAACATCTCCAAGAAAAACAACAAGAGTCCAGTTGCCTTTTGAAAAGGCATCTTTGGGACACTCATAATCTTCATTTGACGACTCCCATAATCCCTTGTGGGGTGCAGTTGGATGCCCTTCCTGATGCCAATGCAGAGCTATATTCAGCAGATATATTCTCATCATGCCCAGAGAGAGAAATATCTGCCTCTACCTAGGTTTGAACTCACAACCTCCTGATTGTGAGGTAAGAGCTCCACCTCTAGGCCACTGCACCACTCTACTTTTGGGATAATCATGACCTGAATAATTGAGAATCTCCATAGACACTAAGCTGAGAATTTGCAGAATTACTTTACTTTACTTTACTTTATTGTCATTGCACCTTATACAACTAAATTAAATGCATCTTCAGTGTACACTATAACTATAAAAATAAAAAACAAGCACACATCCTTCACATTCTATACAATTGAATTGAATCACTATCCTTGAGGGCAGTGGTCTCCAACTGGTAGGCCGTGGCCTACTGGTAGTCTGTGAGAAAATTTTGGGTGGTCCGCAGAGAAATGCCACCTCCAGCCCAAAGCAATTAATCCAGGCTCTGCAGGAACACAAGGTTGCGCTGCTCACATGGCCTGCGGGAACCCTCCCCATCCACTCCTTACCTGGCAAACTTGCCTGCTAAGTTGCTATTTTTTTCCTTTTTCTGACCACCAGCTGTTCTGCTGTGCAGGGAGATTTAGATTAGCTAGAAAGCAGGAAATCGTTGGATTTAGATCTTCAGCTCTGCTTTTAAGCAGAGCCAAATTTTGCCCAGGACTGAAGCTTCTATTATTCAGTACAGGTAGTCAATGGTAGAATCATTGATCTCTAAGTGAATCTGTGATTCTGTGAGCAACTCAATCTGCCTGCCTGCTTTGCCTGATTTTGGGTAAT